TCGAAGCACTATAAACCCAGGCTCCAGCTCTCTGGCAGTCAGTGCCGGCTAATTAGCTCAGCAGGGCACTGGACCAGAGTGTGAAAGACCTTGAGCGCAGCTCTCCTCATTGGACGATGGACAAGTTCATGGCTCTGAGGCTATGTGGAGGGTGTCTGGCTCCACTGACTGCAGTCCCACGGCTGCTGTCGAGGCAGTTAATAAGTCTTTTATTCTTTTTTAAAATTTTTTTTATATTGTTTTGCTTGAAGTTTGTATACTTTGTGTTCCATAATATCCTCCATTCACATTGTGTTTCATACCATTGTGTTTCATAGCAAGTACAGGAAACAAACATCAAAGCAAAGCCTGGGAACTAACGTGGCTCTCTCTGGTTGTGGCAACTCAGACTCCCTGTGTCTGTTATGGACACAGCAGGACAGTCCCAAGGGTTCCCAAGGCTGTGATCCTGATGGAAGTTGGGGGTCAGGTCTTGTCTCCAAGGGAGCTACTGGCTGAGTTCAAGTAATCAAGCTTTCAGAGAGTAGCAAGCGCTTACCCACTGTGTCACCAAGCACCTTAACATGGCTCTGCCAAGCCCAGACAGCACGCCCACAGAGGTAGCCTCAGCTTTCCTCCCTTCCCCGACTACACCAAATCCTTCTTTCCCATCTGCCTCACAGCCTCCGTTCACTTTGCTTTCTCATTCCGCCTGCTCTGTGGCAAGAGCTGCACCCTCTTCTTCAAATTTCTGCTGCTGAACTTGGCCTCCAGCTGGGCTGATATCTGTACCCTGCCTGAACACAACATCCTGGGGACAAAGATAACTTCTGTATCCCCTGTGGGCAGCACAAGATCTTGTGCTGGGAAGGTGCCATGTTAGTCACCCTCTGAAAGAAACGCCCAACACGAAGACACACCCACACAAACACAAACACACATACACAGTCACTGTAAGCATCTGGGAAAGTGCCAAACTTCATGGCAAGTTTTCCAAATTCTCCTCGAGTCTTATCACCAGGACACAGCAAGCAAGATAAAGAAGCTGCAACCCAATTGCCAAAATGCTCAATTAACTATGTTGGTATTGGTGGCTTCCACAGAAGAACTTCCCAGCATTCCTCAGGAGACAGGGAGTCCCTCTCTCTTTTTTACTTACTAAAACTTGAGCTCAAAGAGAGAAAACATGTCAGTATGTCAGTCTTTATACTCAACCATTCCTACAAGCTCTTAGTATTAAGGGTGGGACCAAACACTGGAGTTCCTGGTCCTAGCTTAGCTAGGATGGTAGTTTTTAAAAGGGTGGGATGGCCACTGGTTCATACTTCAGATAACCTGAGTTCCTGCCCCGACTCCATCACTAGCTGTGAGGTCTGGCCAAGGAGCGCCGTGTATTCCTCAGAGTCTTCATCTAGAAAAAGGAGGCATTTATCCACATGGGGATTTCATGAGGATTAAATAGGAAAATGGAAATAGAATGCATACAAGTGATGGCTGACATTGATGTAGCTGCTGCTGTTGTTGTTGACTGTCTTTGAGTCGAGCACAACGCATAGTGACCCTCTGAACAAAAGGTCTAAAGCCCCTCTACAACTATAAACAGTTATCGAAGTTCACAGAGTCTCCAGAGGCATGTTGTTTAGGACGTGGATGCCACTGATCCACATACTGAGACCCAAAGCAGCAAAGTTCTAGACATTGACTCCAGCAATGTGTACTGCCTTCCTCTCCTCACTCCCAAATCTCATTCCCATTGGCCCAGTTAATTGGCTGTCATGGATCTTTGCTTATAAATTGTCTGCTCTCTCCTCCCTTCCTTCATTCTTCCCTCTGTGGTGCAAATGGTTAATGCACTCAGCTGTTACCCAAAATGTTTGCATTCTCCTAGAGTCACCTCAGAAAAAAGCAGGACACTCTACTTCTGACCAATCAGCTGGAGAAACCCCTACAGATCACAGTTCTACTCTAACACACATGAGGTGGCCATGAGTTGGAATCAAACCCAGACAGAGTTCATTGTCATGATGTATTTATAGAAGATAGAGAAGTAAACATAATTGGTTTCATATCTCTAGAGAACCCGAAGATGGTGATACACTAGCCAGTAGACTATTTATGATCCATCACTCATTCATTTTAAAAAAGAAAATAAACACCACCCAAAAATAAAAGCTAACCCACCGATTGCAGGCAGTTGAGTCAATTCAGACTTGTAGCAATCCACCATCGGGATTCCAGCTCTATCTCCCTCCATAGGAGGAAACGCTGGAGTGGCTGGTGAACTCAAACTGCTGACCCTATCATTAGCAGCCTGATATGTTTTGCATTATGCTATGAGGACACCACTAAAATAAAAGCTTACTGTTGTTAGCAGGTGTCACTGAGTTGACCTTCAACACAGCCTTCAATATGGATTGCATCTCAGTGTCAACATAAGAAGGATTCTTACCACTGGACTGAAAGGCAGCATCACGATAGATGGAGAAAAGGTTGAAACTGTCAACAACTTCATCTTACTTGGGTCCACAATTAACACCCTTGGTACCAGCAGTGAGGAAATCACGAGACACATTATACTGGGGAAGTCTGCAGTTAGGGACCTCTCCAAATTATTGAGGAGTAATGATATCAGTTTGAGGACTAAGGTGCATCTGATTGAGGCCACGGTCTTTCTGATCACTTGCTATGCATATGAGAGCCGGACAGTGAATAAGAGTGACAAAAAAATAATTCACGCCTTTGCACTGTTGGTGTTGGAGAGGAGCACTGGCCATCCAATGCACAGCCAAGAGAACAAACAGATATGTCTTGGAGAAGGTGCGGCCAGAGAGATCTTTGGAGGCAAGAATAAGGAGATTTTGCTTTATATACTTAGGGCATGTTGCTAGGAGAGGCTATTCCTTGGATAAGGACATGGTGATCGAAAAGGCGAAGGGCTGGAGAAGGGGAAGAAGACCCTCAACCAGGTGGACTGACGTGGTGAGTACCACAATGGGCTCCAGTGTGTCAGGAAGTGTGAGGGTAGCACAGGATAGGACAGGGTTCACATATGTTGTTTACAGGGTCACTGTGAGTCCTACTTGACTCAACTGCACTTAACAACAACAGATCAAAATGTTGCCCTCTCCCACCTCACACTCTCTGGCACACTCAAGCCTACTGTTGCAGTCACTGCCCCCATCAATCTCACTGAGGGGCTTCTTCCTTGTCTTTGACTCTCCACCTTCCAACTTGAACCCCCTTCCAGGCACTGACCCATCCTCAGAACACACTCAGAGCACGGGAGACAAAGTCTCACCATTCTTGCTCTGAGGAGCATCTGGCTGCCCCTCTTTCAAAACAGACTGGTTCATTTGACAGGGTGTAATATATTTAATATACCTTGAAAATAACCAAATTTGACTATATGAAACTTATCCATCAACCTTCCTACATATGAGTTAACTAGTTAACCATCATTCTCTTTACTTTTCTTCTGATATTTTTTTGTAAATTTACAAACTGTGGTTCAGTCACATGATGCAATATTGAATGATAGTCAAAACAAAAGAAACAAAATACCATATCACATATAACCACCATATAGATTATACTCGTTTATAACAAATACATACTTTCTGGAATGCCATAAAATGGACAGGGAACTCTGGTAGCTTAGTGGTAAGGAGTTGCACTGCCAACCCAAAGGCAAGAGGTTTGAATCCACCGGGTCCTCTTGGGGAGAAAAACAGGCAAACTCCCTCCCTTTCTATGCAGTTCGTGACCCTTAAAAATCTCCTGAGGGTCAGCTATGAACTGGTTCTGACTCAGCACCAATGAGTCAAATATGCTGGAAAATGAACGTACACTTTAAAATCTTTGTGTTTTCCCCTCCTCACTGACGGAATGCATGATTTGAGTAAAGACACAGACCTGGTCAGTTTCCCAGGGCAAGATACCCCACATGCCCTCTCTCCTCAAGATCCCCCAGCAGAGCCCATTTTCCAGCCCGCAGCTGCGTCTTTCAGCTTGAATAAAACAGCACTGAAATCAAGGGCCCAAACACGAGCAGCAATTCACACGAGAGGAAACAATAGTAAACAGAGAGGGAAAATGCTCAACTTCCCTCCTAATCAGAGAAACACCGACGACAGCATTTGGGGAGCTATCAGTCTACAACTGCAAACGATGCCAAAACAAAACAAACGAGCATCCATGAATGCCGGTGATTGTACGGGAGACGAGCACGTGCAGAAAATGCCACAAGGCTGCAAAGTTAGAAAAGCAAACACTCAAAGAGACGCATGTGAGGTGTCACTGTGAACTCCACAGACACGCTCACTCTGTGGAGTTTATCCTACATTGTCCAGATGCCCCCGAAAATGCAATGATTTAAGGAACCACACAGGATAGCAACAGAACAGAATGTAATACAGCTGGAGCAACTTACAAGTTTGAAGGAAAATGTGTACGAGCTTCCCAAAGAGCCCACTGCAGGTGTAACCGAGTCCTACTTCTCAGAACAAAAAACAGAACAAAACCCAAAAAACAAAATAAACCCCTCAAATTCATTGCCATTGAGTTGGAACCAACTCAGAGCTGACCCTCCAGTTGGGTTTTCAGAGGCTGTGAATTGCTTGGGACGAGATTGCCCATTTTTCTCTCTCAGAGCAGCAGGTGGGTTTGAACTGGTGGCTTGTGGGTTGGCAGCACAACTCTTTTACTCACTTGGCCACTGAGCTCCTACCCACAGTGACCCTACAGGACGGTGAAGAGCTGCCCCATGGGTTACCAAAGCTGTGATTTTCATGGGCACAGACTGCCACATCTTTCTCCCACGATATGATACATCCTGCGTAGAAAACGCGGAGATCAAAATGGTAAATGTGTGATTGTTAAAACCATGTAAATATATGTGTGAAATGGGTCCAGCTGGCATACGGAGAGCTGGATCTGAGCGCTGTTTGCCTCCTGTCAAAGTTTCCGTCACCGTTACTGTCATGCTGGTCGCAGAGATTATTTAGGGCTCGAGTGGCTCCTACCTTGTGAACTTTCACAGCTCTCCTCGTCGCTGTTGTCTTGACAGTTGTTCTGCCCGTCGCAGATGAAGCTCTTGTCAATGCACAGGCCGTTCTTGCAGTGGAAGCGGGCAGTGGAGCAGAGCAGGGGGTTTGCTGCTGTGAAGGGAAAACAGAGCAGATCAGCAAGGGAGGCTCGTGAGTATCCCTGGGGACCCGGGAACCCTGCAAAGCCAGGGATGTGTCCTGACCAGGAGACCGTAATTTCATCTTCCAAGGCGGCATACTCAAGTTCAGTTTGGAGAAATTAGTCAGCTGATGACTGGGCCAGCCAACGTTTACTCCATTTTAAAGGTCTTTCTCGCCAGACACCATGCTGATGCCATGCGGCCACACCAGCAAGGTCCAAGGTCAATGCCTTACCCTAAGCAATCAACCCCTAGGCTAGCCAATAGCCTTGGAGAAGTCTGGAGCAAAAACTGAATTTCAAGAGCATCTCCTGCCCCTTGAAGAGACACAGACATGAATGACTGACAGCGTGAATGAAAGACACAGTGAGTAAAAGGAAATTCAGAAAGAGTAGTTATGTCGGGAAACCATGACCCTAGGTAGAGGGGTTTTTCCTCATCACAAAGGCAGTGATGACAGGATCTGGTCTGAAATGACAAAGAATTTCTCCAGTCCTTTAACTATTCGTCCGGCTCTTAATTCCTTCTATATGTCAGGGATCATGAAAGTTAGCTTCATGATCACAATGTCTTCTTCACAGTCAAAGGTGATCAGTAACCCCACTGTTCTGTGGCCACTGTTCAGAAGCTCCCTGTTTTAGAAACATTCTGAAATTTCTAGAGACAAAACCCCTATGGTCCTTTCCTTCAAGGACATGGGTGCTAAATGGTCAAGGTGAAGTCAACACAAAACTTCACCAACATATGCAAACCTTCACAGGAAAACTGTACAAGTGACCTGGCTTATGCATTCCCTGAAGCGTGCTGAGACTCAAACAAGGTTCCCTCCAGAGCTTTGATATCAATGCAATGAACTGGAGTGGAGAGACACTGATTCCAGCTCGTCATTCATTAGCTCTGTAATTCTGGGCAAATCCATTTGCCTCTCTGAACCTTGGTTTCTTTATGGGTGGACAGGACCAGCTTCATAGTTTGTAAGGTCCAGTGCAAACTGAAAAAATCAGGGGCCACTGTTCCAAACTATGTGGGAAAAAAATTCCAGATGGCACCAGCAGAGGATAAAACCAAGAGTGAGGTCCCTTTAACTAATCAGCGCGCTCTGGCTGGCTCCTCTGGTGCGAGAGCCAGGAGGTGAGCTCTGCTAATAGAGAATCAATCTGAGCATCATGTAAGAGGACAGGGGAGAAACTGCACACCACAGAATCTGACTTACAGAAACGTTAACACCCCCGCTTCTGTCAGCCTTTGGATGAAGGAGCGGCAATGGCTTTGGATGAAGAAGGCCCACCCACCTTGGATCTCAGGTGAGGAAGTGAGCCTCTACTTCAATACATTATAGGAAAAACAACAGACAAGGGCACCAGATATTGCACAGAAGATTACTAAAGGATCCAAGACAAGTCAGCTCAAGTAGCTCTTGGTTTCCTCAACCACAAGGTGGCAGCTGGACCATCCGTGCACCTTCACTGTGTCAATCCATCTCCTAAAGGGTCTTCTCTTTGGCAGCTTTCCACCTTCCCATGCATGACCCTGAAGGAGAGGGGCCGAGACAAGGACAGCAACAATGAGCTTCAACACAGCAGAGGCTGTGACGATGGCATAGGATGGGACCAGGTTTCAATCTGGTGACATAAGGTTGCTACGACTCGCTGGCACCTATTAACAACAAAAGCACCCTTCACCAAGTACTCTAAAGATATACAAAAACCTTGGCTGTTGAGCTCTGTAGACCAGGCAGGGGGTTATAAATCCAAAACATATCGGGGGTTCCATAACTGAAGTCTCACAATCCATGCAGGAGACCTGGGTTTGATTCCCAGTCAAGCCACGTCATCCGCAGTCAGTGCTCTATCTTATAATTACAATGCTAAACAGGTTTCAGCAGAGCTTTCGGGTTAGGAAAGACTGAAAGAAAGGCCTGGTGATCTACTTCCAAAATTCAGCCAATGGAAGCCAGTCTAACCACACCTACCCACGGAGACGGCACAGGACCAGGCAACGTTCATTCCATCCTACATGGGACTGGCATCAGGAGCCAACTGGACAGTAGTAAACAGTGACAGAATGCAAACACAAAGGACTGGCGTTTGCTTGTTTCCTTCAATTATTTGGTTCCGAACGTTTGATTTCAAGGGTCAGGAGAGGCAGAGGGATGGGAAAGCCAGCCATCTAGGTTTTGAGGATGATGGAGTAGCATGAAATCAAACAAAAGCAGTCTGGTCTGCAAATGGAAGTCTCAATTATTTAAATTGCTGTGGGCCAGAGAATGGCTCAAACCCGATCAATGTGAAACCACGCTTGACTTCAGCCAAAACCCAAAGGGTGAGACCCAAAACCACAAATCACGTTCGATTTCTGTCCAAGGCAGCCCTCCAAACCCTCTGTCCATCGTGCTCGCCACAACGGTCACCAACTTCCACAGGAACCCTTCTGGGTCACATCTACACAGCCATCACATCAGCAACAATCAGTCACTCGGCCTGGCAGGCCCAGGCAGGCACTCTGATTGCTCCAACATGGTAGTAGCTTCCTCTTGTGAACAAGGAGGGGGGTGCTGGGACTGCTGCCACGTGCTCGCTGACTCTTCAGCCTTGGCTGCTTTTAACTTGCCACAATGTTCTATGAAAAGAGTCATGAGTATGTAAATACATACACAGACATAACACACATACACACACACACACACACACACACACACACACACATACATACATACATACATGTATTCCACTGCCAGTGATTCAGTTCCAATTCATTGCACCTCTCTGTTGACTTTTCGAGACTATAAATCTCCACAAGATGCTTGTCCAGCCTTTTCCCAAGGGGCAGCTGTTAATTCAAATAGCCAACAGTTTGCTAACAGGCCAATACACCGTGCACTTGGCCACCAGGACTCCTGATACACACATATATGTATCCACGTATATTTTCAAGATTAATGAAGAAGAACTGAACCTTCAAACAACTCATCACTGACCCCCAACAGGTTCTCGGAAGCTGTCGCTTGTCCAGGAGGAAGCTGCCTGCCTTTCTCACCTGCAGCTGCTTCAAACCACCTGCCTTTACGTTACCAGTGAAATTCCCTACAGACCAGGACACCAGAGCTGGAGTTGTTGTTGTTAGGTGTCATCAAGTTGAGTATGATTCACAGAGCCCTGTGAACAACAGATCCGAACCCTGTCCCATCCTGTGCCATCCTCATCACCTCTGACACACTGCGGCAGTCACTGTCAACCCATCTCATTGAAGGTCGTCTCTTTTGTTGACCCCTTTCCAAGGAATAGTCCATCCTAGTAACATGCCTAAGTATGTGAGACAAAGCTGTGTCATCTTTGCCTCCAAGGAGCTGAAGTAGACTGGATTTATTCTCTCTTGTGTGTGTGTGTGTGTGTGTGTGTGTGTGACAGAGAGAGAGAGAGAGATTGATATACTCACAATGTCGTCTTACCACTTTCCCCCACTTCTTCTCTGTAGTTTTGATTTCCACTAATCCTTTCCACCTCTCTATGTCTCCTCTTTCTTCAGTGAGAGTATGCTACCCATCCCTTTACTGGATATTGTCTTTCCCGTTGCCTATGGAAGACTAGTTTTAGTGTGTGGAACCCACGGAAGCCCAGCAGCCAAAATACAGAAAGAGCTCTCACAAATCAAAAGGGAAAAAAAATACAAAAAACTTGGGCAAAGGACATGGTCACATAACCCACATAAGGAAGATGGCAAAAAATCTGTAAGTACTTGAAGAAACACAATTTAAATGTCACAGGTAATGAAGTATCACATTACCAGTGCAGGCTCACCAAACATAAAGTCTTAAAATAACAAGTTGTTGGCAAGGATGTAGAAATAGAGGAAGTATCATGGACTAGCAGTGGGCATGACAGTTGGTAAGTCTCACCCTGGATCTATTCAGTAATAGCTAATTGCAGCAGAAGGTCCCGTGTGATAGCAATCACTAAATGAAAGAGTGATTATATTGTTGGAATCCATGGGTGGTGGAAATGATTAAAACACATGGCTGCTAACTGAAGAGTTGGCTGTTTAGGTCTCTTCAGAAACTCTTAGAAGCCTGGTTATCTACTTCTCAAAAAACAGCCGCTGACAACTCCCCGGACCACGGTTCTCTGACACACATGGGGTGGGGAGGTGGGGGGGGCATGAGACAGCAACACCATGATACTCAAGAGCAATAGGGCTGTTTTTAATAAGGAGATTCTCTATTATTGAAACCCACTGCTATTGATTGATTGCAGTTCAGGGTGGCCCTTTATTGGGTTTCTAATGCTGTAAATCTTTATGGAAGTCAGCTGTCTATCTTTCTATCTCCCCTGGAGCAACTGGTGAACTCGAACAGCTGACCTCACAGTTAACAGTCCAACATGTCATGCACTACATTACAAAGTCTCCTTGAGACATTCTAACAACAGGGGGAAATGTTCAGTAGACAGCCAGATAGAAACGATGTCAGGCTTCCTTAGCCACCCCACCTGTGTTCTGTTTCACCTACTCAACTCTGCTCTGGCTCCGCAGAGGAGCCACAAGTAAACAAGAGATAGGTATATGCCAATAAAACTTTATTTATATGAACAAAAGGTGGACCAAATTGGGCCTGTGGGTGGAAGTCTGCCAATCTCTACAGCAGTGAAAAATAAAAGAACTAGTCAAGATAGATAAATCTCACAAATAAAATTTAGGGTGAGAAAAGCAAATTAAAGATAAATGTGTATAGTGCTATATCATGTATACGAAGTTTAAACGCATGCAAATGAATGATACATATTTGGAATTCTTCCTCCTCCCCTTTTTTTTTAAACAGGAAAAGTGAAGATTGCCCATCCTTCTCCCATGGAGCAGCTGGTGGATTTGAACCACTGCCTCTGGGATTGCTGCACAGCTTCTTGCCACTAGGCCACAGACAATTTGAAATTCTAACTAAACTTACTAACACTATTATTCTTAAAATTTCTAGCTTAA